ATAAATAGTATAGTGCAAAACCCAAATTGAATCGCAAACCACACTATCTATGGGCCATAGAAATCATGTAATACTAAGAATAATCACTAAAGCAATACCTTTTGTCACTTGTAAGTTGTACAGTAAGCTATATAGCATTGCATCAAATTTCTGTTTTCGTATTTGGTAGGGCGCATGTCATTCAGGCCTAGTGGCGGATCTTGGCCAAAAATATTAGAGGGGCCGAGATATGAATCTTTTACCTCTTACTCAAAATTAATCACTATGTCCTACATTTTAAAAGTAAAATATGTTAATCTAAGTTTATTAACTAATTAATTGCAAGAATTTACCAGGGACCAGGCCCCAAATGACCCCGATGGAAGGTTCCCCTAATCAGGCCCCCAACGTATATTTACTTTGACATAATTGACAACTTCATTCCCACGTTATGGACCTAAAAAACCTAGCTAATTTTATTTGTAAATATAGATTTTTATTTTTCCTTTTGTAATCCATAGTTTCATTGGTTATGGTTTCAAAAACATAATCTCCTTGCCTTTTACAAGTGTATAGTTTTATGGGTTCATGTTCATCTCCTAGAGAATGGTGTTTTATGATTCTTCCTTTTTTAAGATAGTAAGAAAGTTAGAGTTAAAGAAAAATTGGAAAAAAGAAAAATGAGATATGACATCTTTATCATTAATTTAATTACCTATTAATTTATATATTGAGATAAGAATAAAGAGTAGGGTCTAAGGGGAAAAAATTACATTTAATTTTATGAATATTCATCTTGTCTAGACATTGCATATGTATAGTATGGATCTTTTTTTATTTATTCTTTCTTATCCAATTCTTTCTATGAGAATAAGCAAACTAGATAGCTCAATCTTTAGTCACTTGGCTTGCAAGTGTATCTTTTCTTTTAGGTCTTCGAATCTACTAAGGGTGGTCAGTGATGGAGGTCCTTTATATTGTGGATGAAGGAATTAAAAGATTACATGGAAATGGTTAAAGATCTAAATTTATTAGTTTGACTAGGTTTGAATTGAATCATAAGTTGAAAATACAAGGGCAATTGCTATACACAATATAATTAAAAGATTATATATATATATATATATATATATATATATATATATATATATATATATATATATATATATATATATATACACTTAGAAAGATAGGTATGTTAAAAGGTAGGTTGAATACGAGATTACTGTTTCTCCTAGGAGTAGATAAGAAGAACTAGGAAGATACTTATTACCTTAGGGATTAGGCATAATTCTTGTAAATATACATACCTTATAAATATAATTAGAAGAATAGCAATTGATCTGAGATCATATGTAATTACTCAAGTACACATTACACATGCAAGATTAGTCTCTCAATTTTAAGTTACATAGTACATTTGATTTCGTCAGGGCCGGCTCTGAGGGTAGGCTTCGAGTGCGACCGCCTAGGGCCCATACCAAAAAAGGGCCCAAAATTTATAAAAAAAATAAAAAAAAATCAGTTTGGATACTTGTACCGTAGAATTTTACTCCATACTTTTTACTTATTAAAAAAAAGCTACTTTTAAAAAAGATAATTACTACATTTATTTAGCAATTAACATTAGTTGTCAATTAGATAGAGATTACAATGCAATATAACCTCTTCACTTCTTCAATATTCTGGTTTCTATGAGTATCTGCTCCAAAAATATTAATCTTTTCAATTACACCTTTTCATATTTATTCAATTACCAAAATCAAAGCCTTTTAATTTTGGCTAATTAATATTATGGCAACGGTTAAGAATTGTCAATTGAGACGGATATGTTAGAAAACACAATGTTGATTTAATTATAAATGATTTTGCATCAAAAAATACTAGAAGAAATCGCTTGTTATGATTTTTTAGGAAGGAGAAATTTATATGCAAAGTTATTATTGTGTATCGAGACTTACTATTTAAATGATATAAGTTATTTTTATTGTCTTTTATTTAAATCTATTGTGTATAAAAAAAAAATTGTTTATGTGAGGGGCTCTTTTCTTACCATATGCCTAGGGCCCATAAATTTCCAGAAACGGGGCTGAATTTCGTTAACAAATAAAATAAATTTTTTGATAGCCTTTAATACGATGTAAAATTTCACAATGAATTGAAGTATGCATGTGGTACAAGCTAAGCCCATAAACACTCATAATCTAAATTTTGCCATGACATTCAAATTCCAAATAACACTATATATAATAGAATTCATATATTATAGTTTTTAAATCTAAAGATCAATAATGCATACTAGGAAGGCTGGAAAACTTAGCATACAAACCTAAGCTAAGTGTAATTGTCGTTCTGAGATATAATATTTCATCAATACTGATACCGGTGAATAATATATACCTTACTAGGTTAGGTCCCGTGTCATGCACGGTAATTCTTAATAACTATTTTTAACATTAATAATGAATTTTTCTAAAGTATTATACGGAGTAATGAATTTATTATAAAAGAGCCTGTAATGCATTTAGTTATTATAAAAGAGTTTATTAGCTAGATAGCTATTTTTAAAATACATTTGTCAATATGTGTTGTTCATATATTTTTCATCAACAAATTGGTACAATTTTCTTGTTGTTAACCAAATGAAGTTCTTAAAAACGTAGTACATTGCACTCTATAGTCCATATGTATGTCACAAATTATGTAAAGAACCTGCTTTTTTTTCCCCTTAAATTTATAGTTGTTACTTGTTAATATTTATTTGTAGAAGGATACCTCAAATCTTTTATATTAACTACTTTTTTAATATTTGAAATTCAAGTTACTTTTTTTTTAACACATATTTAAATAAATAAATAAATTTATTGTTATAATAGGTAGTACATAACATTCTAGCACAATTATGTTAAAAATCTGATTTAATATTTATTTCTTTTTACTTAATTTTATATTTTTCTCAAAAAAAAAAAATTATAGTTGTCAATGTATATATTATGGAAAGACATATCAAATCTTTTATTTATGTATTATTTTGCAATCTTTTTCATTTATGTATAAGATTTGTCAAATATTTTATTTATGTTTATTTTGCTATCTTTTTATTTATGTATAAGATTTGTTTTCTAAAGATTATTTTTAAAAAAAAAAATTTAAATAAGAGACACGCCAGAAAATGACACGTGTCATTGTTGGTGTGTCTTTTAGTATATAGTTATTAATTGGCTCATTAGAGTTCATTATTACAAAATTCAATCTTTGCAAGTACAATTTCTTGAACAACATAAAAATTTAGGTAATCAATGATAATACTTGATAAAGAGTCTAGGTTAATCATAATTAAAACTATGAATTTTGATGCCATTTGACGTACAAGTAAATATTATAGATTTAGTTTCATGAGTAGCTCAACTAATAGTACACTATGATCAAGGGGAGTAGAGGACTATACATTTGGTAACTTGTGAGCATCATACTTGGTCACGTGCCATCACGGGACACAAAACACTGGCTTGTTAAAAGCCATGCAAAAATTGCATAGGTAGAGGCAAAATTTTTGTATAATAGAGGACATACATTGATACATATATATGAAGAAACTAACTAATTAAAGGGCAAATTTGTAATTTCACATTAGTCTGCAATAGTGCCTTTTTTTTTCCCTTTCTTTTTTCCCTATAATAAGCTTTATCAGAATTCAAAAATCATTTCATTTCCCTTCTTTGGAATCTAATCTTTAGTGACAATATGGTAATAATTCCTATACTTCTTTAATTACTAATTATATCCAATAAATTGAAAAAAAGGGATTATTACCTTTGAGTTTATTTATACTATATAGTTTTATAATTATAATTTTTTTAAAATATTGTATAGTTTGGAACTTTTGATGTAAAATGTGATGATTCATTCAATTGTTCAAGGAAGCCAGCTCAAAGATTTGATAAAGAACATTCTTTTTCTTCTCTCTCTAATTTCCTCTGCTGCCTCAAAATCTTCTCAAGAATCGAGGCTCTTCTGTATTCCTTTTTCCCTATCAATAAGCTTTTTCAGAATTCAAAATTCATTTATCTCATCTTTGGAATCTAATCTCATATACTCACTTGTATTTAGCCATACTACTACGTACGTGCTCCTTTAATTGCATACAAAGTACAATTGTACTCGACAAATCAATTTATAGCTAGAATTGAAGTGTTACACTAAATAAATTCGAAGAAACTATTTGGTAATTGATATAACTTTATACCACTTAAAATGAATAATACGGAGTAAATTATTACGAAATATTACTCTTAATGTCATTGAATAATAAAACTCAATTAATTTGCAATACTTTTATATATGAAGTATGCCATTATCTAGAATAAGCAAGATAAACTTGACCTTTAAGTTCCCTTAGAAATACTCTTTTAATTAATTTATAAAAAAAAAAAGGTCCAAACTAAATTTTAAAAAAACTTACAATACACGGTATGGATGGATAAAATTGACTTAATTTCTAAATATGTACCCTAATAGTATAGCTAGCTTAGTTCGTGACGAAGAAACTAGTTTTCATTTATATTTGGTAGTAATAATTGACTCAACAAATCAGGCCGAATATTCAATCATCTATTCAATATCAATTACAGTTAAGTACTTTACTCCTATATTAGGTCTTATATGACTCTATTATATGTTAATCTTGAAATACTTGTAGTTTATTATGATATGATAATCAATATCTAGTATATTAATATTGAGGTCACATCAATTCGAGTTAATTAAATTTCGATCCTCAAAATTAAGTCTTGTAATCTCAAGTACTTATCAGAGCTACTTCAAGTAGCATTGTTTGAGTAAATTGCGTTCATATGAGTCCGTCGATAGTCTACACAATCTATCTAATTACACTCTTCAAATAATAATAATAATAAAAAAATCTATCTAATTATGTTTATTATTTTAATAGTTAGGAACTTTTAATGTGATGATTCCCATTATTCAAGAAGCCAGCTCAAGCATTTGAAAAGGAACATTCTTTCTCATTCTCTCTCTTCCTTCAGCTGCCTCAAATCTTCTCAAAAATCGAGGCATTTCTGCATGTTATATAAACCATGCTTAACCCTTCACAAACCAAACTCATTCTTTCATACCCTAACTTCTTTCACCTTTCTCTAAATCCCAACTAAAAATTTCATCTCTAATTATTCCTAGCTCTCCAAGGTAATTAATTAAGCTCTATCTTTGATTTTTATTTTTTTATTTTTCATCTTCTGTCATAATTTACTTTATATCATTCATATTTTGTAAGGTGAAAAAAAGAGTGCAAGTTGGTGGTTTTTATAGTTTTTTGTTTCTAAATTTGTCATTTTCTGAAAATTAAGGATGTTAATTTGTTAATTCCTTTTTTTTTTTTTTTTTTTGGTACCTTAAAACAAGGGATAATGGTCTCTTTAGGAGCTTCTATGACAAAATCAGTGGAATGATTACATTATTTTCCACTTATATTTTTTTCTTAAAAAAATGTAAAACTACAAAAATTAGGCAATAGGAAAACCACGGGCTAATAGCTTTTGTACGATTACCATTTTGGATTGGTTGCATTGTCTAAGCATCTCCTAACATTTTCCACTTTCATAAATAAACATGTTGTATATCGTATCTTCTTTATTTCCTTAAAATAAGGATGAGTACCTAATTTTGAAGGCAATAAAGAAGAATTTCCTTGTTTTTAATATCTTATATTAACGTATCGCGTCTTAATTACTGTAGTGAGTTAGTTTTTGAAAAAAGTTATAGTATTATTTAAATTGAAATTCGTTTACATCATTGCTCGTGCTTATGACACGTACTTAGTGTTGTTCACCGAATATATTTTTTTTGTTTTGAATAGGTAAAAAAGAATGAGTAGGCCAGGTGATTGGAACTGTAGGTCATGCAGCCACTTGAACTTCCAGAGGAGGGACTCTTGCCAGCGTTGTGGGGACCAACGTCCTGATGGCCGAGGCGGCGGCGATTTCGGAAGCTTTGGAGGGAGGTCAGGTGGGCCCTCCTTTGGTGGGGGTTTTGCCGGGCCCGATGTTAGGCCCGGTGATTGGTACTGTAGCATTGGCAATTGTGGGGCCCATAACTTCGCTAGTAGGTCTAGCTGCTTCAAGTGTGGGGCTTACAAGGAGGAATCTGGCTCTGGTGACATGGGCCGCTCACGTGGATTCTCTTTTGGTAGCGGTCTTGGCGGTGGCGGACCGGGTGGAAGCGGCCGTTCCGGTTGGAAATCCGGTGACTGGATTTGCACTAGGTATGTAATTATGTTCAATCTTATTATGTATACATACAATTTCTTATAAAGTTATAATTATATATACATACAATTCTATATTTTAATCATAAGAATTATGGTAGTATACTAGCACTTACTATGTATACGCTATTGTTAGTAACGTACATGTATCATTATTACTTTATGGACAAGAAATGGCATGTCATGTTACTTATATTATACGTACCATGTAACGTTATAGGTCGGGTTGCAACGAGCACAACTTCGCTAGCAGGACCGAGTGCTTCAGATGCAGGGAACCAAGGGACTCCGGCAGTAACTCTGCTTATTAAATGCATCAGCTCTTAAGTTTCAAAAATTTCACGGTATGCATGTCCTCAAAAATTAACTTTATTTTAATTTAGATATTGTACATACTTCCTCTGTCTGAAAATAATGTTATGGAGTAATAATTATGGGGAGCTGTGCATGTATATTGTAGGCTGATTATTTGTTTTGTTTTGGCCTTTAGGTAATGCATGCTACGGAAGTACGAAGATAAACGAAGAATATCAAGTTACTACATGAGAGGGCTGAATGAAATTAATCTACTTTGAAAATTTTAATTTCCCTCTAGATTTTCCTTTCTTTTTTGAATTTCATTGTTAGGTCGTATTCGAGATAATTCATGCTAAAAAACTAGAAGTTTTAGACTTCATGAGCTTATTATTAATTTTGTTACTTTTTGATGAGTTTAGTATGATAATCTATTTAACTAGCTAGTTATTTTGGTGGTCTAAGCTCATGTCACTTTAATTTGTCCCTTTTTTTCCCCTAATTTTTTTTTTCAAATTTTTGTTTTTAAATTGGTGAGAGAATCTCTCAGCCATCATCTCTTTATGTAGTTGTTGATGTTCTACGATGCAATGAGAGTTTGAATATTATTAGTAATATTTGCAAATCCTTTTATTTCTTATGTTTAATATAATCATGGCAATAATAATTTAGCATCAATTTCAAAAATTTATGCAATAATCCTCAATTCTCAAGAATTATTCTTTTGCTTTTGCTTTATGGGAATAAGCTTTGAATCATGACTTTAACAATTAACCCTGAACATCTCTGCAAAGTTGTTTAAAGCAAGTCACATTTAAATTATGGACCACAATTTCCTCTTTCGCTTCATGCAATGCAATTTACACATTATTATCATTATCTTTCAATCAATAAATATGAACAATGCAACATTATACGTAATTAGTTAGTGATCTAGGGTAAACAATTGTACCAATACAATATAACGTGCGATATGAAGATCAAAAATTACTTTAGAAGGAATTTGTTGGTGTTTATAATATAATTTTCAATGCTACTCCAACTTAATCAACATCAACTATATGTGATATAGGATGAACTGATTCAATAGTAAATGTGTATTAGTATAAATAGTCAAAATTTTACATGAATTGAATAAAGAATTGATAATTAATCATTCATCTCATAGTCCATTTATGAGGATATGGTGGGACTTAGCTAGGTCGGGCTAATTAGTAAACTAAAGTACTAAGATAATACAAATAAATCATAAGCACTGTATATAGAGCTGACTGCAGACTAAGGAAATGAATAATAAAGTAACATAAGGCGGTACTTGTTATACCTTTTTGAGAAGAGAAATAGATTGAGTAATAAAAGAAAACCAGCTCATAATATATAGTGGGCCAAATTAGAGTAAGATAACACAAGTAGTTTTTAAAAACATAATAGAGTAAAAGTGGAAAAAACTCTATAAAACAATTACAATACGAAACAAAAAATAGAAAAAAAATCGAACGGAGTATTAATTAGTCATACAACTCATACCAATTGATAGAATTAATAATTTTAGATTCAAAATACCTTATATATGATGGACTAAAATCTAAAAGCCATTACCTCCCACCATGTGCACCCCTTTAATTCCATTTCAAAAATTAAAGTGGAGAAAAAAATAGAATCTGTTGCTAAAGCAAATAATCAAAATTATTATTAGTCAAAGGCAATAAAACAATACTTTTTATTTTTTATTTGGTATATAATGAAGCTTTATAATAATTAATAATACGGAGTATAAATATGGTAGCTAGGTACCTTTAATTTATTCTGTGAAGGTTCAATGGGCACTCAAGAGGGGGGGGGGGGTGAATTGAGTGTTAAGTAATCGTTGGCTAATTTTGCTTCTTTTCGGATTATGTGTGAGGAACCAGTTGTGCTGGTTCCCGTACGCAGCGGAATATAAATAAGCAATAAAGAAGACAACAAATTTAACGAAATAAAACAAAGCAATAAAGAACACAACAAATTTAACGAGGTTCAGCCAACTCAGGCCTACGTCCTCCTATCCTAAGTTCTTTATTAATCTACTCCGAAAAACAAAGACAAAGAACACTCTGCTGTTCCCTACTCCGGGAACCAGCAAACCCCACACTCTACTCCGAGTGTGCTCTCGACTTACACTCGTAAGCCCAATGTGTTTGAACTCACAAACACTCACCCAGCCTTTAACCCCTTTGTTAAAGACTCAATACAAGAATCAAGAACTCTCCTTTGATCTCACTTCTACGAAGCTAATTAAGAGAAAAAGTTTAAGTACTAGAATGCTCTTGTATATGACTTGATGAATGGGATTAGTGCTTAAGTATATGCTCTCAAATAATTGCTCTTTTTAATTTCTGGAGAGGCACACGAAATATGTGAAATAAGATGAGTTTATATAAGCTTAGATTCCTAAAACCTAGTTTCCTTAAATCACACAATCTTAGAGAATAAGATATAATGTAATTTTAGGAAAGTTTTTATCTTATTTGATTTAATCACAAAGATAGAATCAATTAAGATAAATACTCCTAGTTTTTAGGTAACCAAGAATATTTCATCTTATTTCCAGCTGCACAAAATATTTTCAAAATAATCTTTTCGAAAAAATCTTTTTGTAAAATCTTTTTCCAAAACGGCAGCTCGAATACAGTGAACCTGGTTCCCCGACCTGGTTCCCTGAATTGAAACATGTTATGAAACCTGTTCCAACTTTGTACCAGATTTCATATCATACTTCAATATACTTTTAAGCACTTATATAACCCAAACATGCAAGCATACTACGGAGCATATTACATGAAAACCTAGATAACATATTAAAGCATAAATCGTCTTTTCTTCATGTAATCTTCAAGACTTGAATCTTCCTTGAATACTTCTATTATGAGCAAACAATCTTTCTTCGAAATATCTTCGAAAGGCTTCTATGCTCCAAGTCTTGGAATCAACTCAACTACTGCACATGTAACATGGTTAATGCACAATAAAGAGTATGTGACTGCTTTACCACGTAGCAACCATGGAAACAGTACATACTGGTTCCCTACCAGTACATAACACTTTTATCATATAACTGTTCCCTGTATAAAGACAAGTTAGTTCAATAAGAAAACTCATGTAAGTAATAACTTGTCTGGGGAAACAGTGTTCTATGTTAGCTGGTTCCCACCAACTGTTTTCAACACTTATTAAAACCTGTTTCCCATAGCTGTTTGTCATCATTCAAAACCATCATTCAAAACCTAAGGGACTCAACAAATTCCCCCTTTTTGATGATGACAAACTCTTGAAGTTCTTGAACCTGTGGACATGCTCAAAAAGAAAAACCGTCAAAAACTTCAAGGACTCAAAACTCTTTGGAACAAGTCAGTTAGGCCAACTGGTTCCCTAAACAGAAAATAGAAAATACGAAATAAAAAGACTCAAACTGACTCAATCTAAACTAGCTAAACCTTAGGCTTCAACTTCAGACTACTTCCCCCTTTTGGCATCATTAAAAAGTATCCACAAGTAAAAGCAATGTGCACAAGTTAATGTGCTTATCCATACAATGGCATCAACCACCATTCAAGCATTATGCTGCAAAAAGAGATTAGCCAAACAGTTCATACCATAGCAGAGTTAGTAGTTCATACAAGCCAACAAAGTTCAACCAAAGAAGCCCAAATCCATCCAAAAAGAAAGTTCATGGAATGGAGAGAAGTAGACAGACCAACAAAATCAGTTATTTTAGAATAAACATGAGGGTGAGGAAACAAGAACAGAAACAGCATCACTCCTCATCATCATTCTCGTTCCCTTCCTCCTCCTCGAACTTTGCAACATCTTCTGCATCATCATCTGGTTCCTCTTCATCCCACTCAACCTTGTCATCATGCTCTACTTGAACCAATCGCATTATCTTACTAAGCATATTCTTGTGATTCCCCAATCTGTTTCAAAACCACTTCCTGACCTGCTGGTTCCTCTTTTTTTTTTTTTTTTTTTTTTTTTTTTTTTTTTTTTTTTTTATAAATCATGAGAGATATGTACTGATTCAGAATGTTCTCCTTGTTGCATAACGAGTGCAAAACTAGCATCACATCAATCAAGCAAGGAGGTTCTTGCTGGTACCCTTTTTCTCTTGGTTCCTGGAACAGCGTCAATGGACTGTTCCTCCTGCACCTTCTCAGTGAACTTCTTTAATTGAGTTACTCTACTTCGTACCATGGTCTTAGCAGTGGGTGTCTCCTCATAATAACCAACAACCTCTATTTCATCCTTTTCACTCTGACTTTTCTGAATTTCCTCCAACTTCGGGCTTAAGGACATTTGAGCTTCCTTCTGATGTTCCCCCTGAGACTGAGCTGGTTCCTTGAGTGAACAGTAACCAAATGAACAATGATGAATTTAAAGCATACGAGAGAGAGAAAGAGAATTTCGAGTGATGATGATTGATGATCTGCACAAAGGGTTAGTGTACATTTTTAACAATGAAGCACAAAGAGAGAAGAAGGAAAGAAAAGAGTTAGTTGAGCCAATAAAAAGCAACTGTAAAGGATATTTTTAAATTGAAATCAAAAATTTGGTAATTATCTTTTACCATAATTATCTCAACCAACTATAAATAAGGCATATGATATGTTTGCCTTTTATATGGGATTAAATAACTGAAATAAGATAAATTCCTTCCAAAAGGAAATATCTTATAGTAATCTTCCGAAAATAAAAGATATTATCGGATGACATATCAGAGCTGGTCTGCTGTTTCCCTTTGCTGGTACCTGTATAGAACCATGTCACGCTGTTTCTGGAAATTCAGCCTGATTTCACCTGTTTCTTACAACAATGATTCTCAATCCTTTTGAGATTTTGAACCATCTACACAACACTTGAAAGATATCAACATAAGTATGTACACACACTATACAAGAGAATACCATTCTAACCAATCATTGAAGGAAGTAATTGAAGCCAAAACCTAAAATCTAACTAGACCTAAAAGGACTCTTAACCTACAAAAAGACTCTCTACACAAAGGCTTTGTGAAGATATCAGCAATTTGATCTTCACTTTTACAAAACAACATCTCCACCAATCCTTTTTCCACATTGTCTCTTAAAAAATGGTGTCTTATTTCAATGTGTTTTGTCTTGGAGTGTTGCACAGGATTCTTTGAAATATTGATTGCACTAGTGTTATCACAGAAAATAGGAACACTTTTATAAATAACACCAAAATCTTTCAGCTGGTTCCTTATCCACAGTAGCTGGGAACAGCATGAAGCTGCAGCTATATATTCAGACTCTGCTGTGGATAGGGCCACTGAATTTTGCTTTTTAGAACCCCATGAAATTAGACAAGAGCCAAGAAAGTGTGCCATACCTGATGTGCTCTTTCTATCAACTAAGAAACCAGCATAATCTGCATCTGTGTATCCAATAAGATCAATGGTACTGCCTTTGGGGTACCACAATCCCAGATTTGCTGTTCCTACAAGATACCTAAGTATCCTTCTAATAGCCTTCAAGTGAGATTCCTTTGGATTGCTTTGAAACCTAGCACACAAACCAACAGAAAACACAATGTCAGGTCTACTAGCTGTTAGGTAAAGTAGAGAACCTATCATTCCT